CAGCACTCTGGGAGGCTGAGGTGGGCGGATCACTTGAGGCCAGGAGTTTGAGACCAGACTGACCAACATGGCAAAACCCCATCTCTACTGAAAATATAGAAATTAACTGGGCGTGGTGGCATGCGCTTGTGATTCCAGCTACTCAGGAGACTGAGGCACAATAATTGCTTGAACTCAGGAGACATAGGTTGCATTGAGCCGAGATTGCACCACTGCACTGTGACAGAGCGAGACTCTTTATCTTTTTAAAAAAAAAAAAAAAAATGGTGTCTCCCTTTGAAGGGTTTTTAATTACAGCTAATGTCAGTATTTACTGCTAAACCTTTTATTACTTTTTTTTTTTGATGTATTAAAAGATCACATACTCATTTAATTACTTGTAGTAATTTTACTTTTTCAACAAATGTCAGCATTTCTTTGTTGATTGGCCAGAGAAGGAACCCTGCTTTGTTTTTTTCTTTCTCTCTGTAATTGATTAGATACTCTGTTTAATTTATGCGAGTTATTTTTGTTAATTTTTTTTTTTTTTTTTTTTTTTTACTTAATTTCTTTTAGAAACATGTCATTCAGGTTTATCAAAAGGTAGGATTTATATATGCACATTTATTTTTCAATCCTCACTCCCAAATGGCTCCTGCAATTAACATTAGGTTTGGCTTTCCGGCCCTGTTTTTTCTTTATAAACTAAACTTTCTGCTGAGAACTAAATACTTAATTCCTTCAAAGGAAACTGAAAAGAAATAGATTAACTCTGTCAGGCATTTTAAAGGGCACCCATGCAACAAAAGGCTGATGCATGCTCTGTGTATTTTCTTTCTTTGGTAGAATTATTTAGCATCCAAATAATTCTGTCTTCATACTAATAACACTTAGCATGCTCCTGTTTGAAGAATGAGATGCTCAGTAATGTTAATGTACAATTAATGATTATCCACAGGCATGCAAAAGGTAAGTGGTAATTGTGTTATTTTTATTTCACTGAGGATTGAATTAGCAAAAGGCTTTAAAGTGACAGGAAAATTAGCTAATACAGAAAACAATCATAAAATTCAAAGCTGCAGCCTCATTTGATTTGGCTTTTTCAGAAATTAAAATGCAAATAGCTGCGTAGCAGAAATGTTTTAATTTTTTCAGAGTTGAAAGCCACTTTCCAGCAACCACTGACGAAAGAGTATCTCATTATTTTTACTTAAAGCACTGCAGAAAGTGGTGTTCTGATTTTATTAATATTTTTTAGGCCAGGCGTGGTGGCTTATGCCTGTACTCCCAGCACTTTGGGAGGCATAGGCAGGCGGATCACTTGAGCCCAGGAGTTCGAGGCCATCCTGGACAATATGGCAGAACCCCGCCTCTACAAATAATACAAAAATTAGCTGGGTGTGGTGGCACACATCTGTGGTCCCAGCTACTCAGGAGGCTGAGGCAGGAGGATCACCTGAGCCTTGGGAGGTCAAGGTTGCAGTGAGCCATGATCATGCCACTGTGCTCCAGCCTAGGGGAGTGAGACCCTGCCTCAAAAAATATATATATATATTTTTTTGATGGTAATAATCAAGAGACCAAAAATGTTGCTTTCTTAATGCACACATGAGGCAGAAAATCTTTCATGAAGGGCTACGTTGTACCTGTGCCTCTCAAGTCACCAGAAGGCCAAGCTGCGGGTCAAAACTGTGGGAAAAGCACTTTCTTCCTGTTGGTGGTTCCATTCTATTATTAGTTTTTTAATTGAACTTCCCACTTGTCTGATTTTTCCTTGGACAGAACAGGTAATAACTGAATGTAGAATCCAGCTGATAGCCTCATTGGCTTTTAATTGGAAACCCATTATACTATGGGGAGCAGTTAGAAAGTGAGAATAACCCCATTCTGAGGCCGAGCGTTCTCAGGGTGAAGAGCCAGCAGGAGTGCCTGCTGTGCATGTGTGGTGTGCAGTGTGTGCAGCAGTGTGTCCTGTGTGTAGCAGTGTGGCGTGCGATGTGTGTGATGTATGCAGTGTGCAGCATGGAGCTGGCCCCTGTGCACACCCCTGCAGCCTTGTGGAAGAAGGTAGCGCTGGCTCAGTCAAATGAGAGGAAGAGTTTTCATAAGCTCTGCTGGTGACTAAAACGTGTTTTGGCTTTGTTTATTTTATGGTGTTGGTGTTGGTATTGGTGGTCATGTACTGGCATGTAAGATTTCTTTTCTCTTTCCCTCTTCTCCTCTGCTTCTACATTCTGTTCATTGAGACTTCCAACTGAATATGAGAGGAACGGGAGATATGAGGGCTCAAGGTGAGGGAAATGATTTTTACTTAAAATTTTTTCCAGATGTTTACTTCATTTCTGTGGCAGAGGCAACACTATCTTCTGAATGTTCCCTACTGTATTCCTGCTATCTCTACTGTATTCCTGCTGTCTCCGTAGGAGTTAGAGGTTCGCATCAGGTAGAGAGGGTGGCCACGGGGGGGCGCCAGCCTGCCATGAGCACCGCCCGGATCCAGCTTGGCCTCTGCTCTATATTTGTGTTTGTGTTAAAAGCATGGCAATGCCTTCAGCCTTCCTGCCTGGGCGTTAACAGCCTTTGGAGGTCTGGGTTGGGTAGCAGTGCTCAGAGAAATAAGCCCTCAGTTAATCACTGACTCCTCACATGGTTCTCTTCACAAGGAATAAAAGCAAAGTACTTAATAGAATGTCCATATTTCAAACTAGTTATGTTTTCTTCTAAGAATGGTGATTATATAGTTGAGTGTTTGCTTTTCTTTCTTTTTTTTTTTTTTTTCTGAGGCAGGGTCTCGCCTTGTCACCCAGGCTGTAGTGTAGTGGCACGATCACAGCTTGGGCTCCTGGGCTTATGCAGTCCTCCCACCTCAGCCTCCTGAGTATCTGGAACCACAGGCACTACCACCATGCTGGCTAATTTTTGTATCTTTTTGTAGAGAGGGGGTCTCGCCATGTTGGCCAGGCTGGTCTCAAACTCCTAGGCTCAGGTGAACCTCCCACCTTGACCTTCCAAAGTGCTGGGATGACAGACATGAGCTGCTGCGCCTGGCCTTGCTTTTCCATTTTGTGTAGTTATCATTGCATGGATTTACGGGGCGGGGGGCGGGCAGTCACCAGGTAATCTTAGGACTCTGTGTCCGTACTTCTAGATCTCTTCCACTTCCGCCCTTTTTTATGCCAGTCACCAGCAGGCTATTTCAGGTCCTCATTCACCATTTGTCTTTTAGGTCTTTTTAAAAGCCCACTTCTGGTCATATGACCTTTCTGAATTAAAACTTTCAATGACCTCCACTATTTCACCCGGCCACATCCCTGCGAGGCCCTGAGTGGTGTGGTCCAGGCTGCCCGAGCAGCCCAGCTCCGCTGCCCCATCAAGGCGGAGCATTGGGGTGAGTGCCAGGCAGCATTCCCCCTCCAGGCCTGCCCATCCCAGCCAGGAGCAGGCTCTAGATCCTGGTTTGTTTCCCCACCCATAATAGGAAGGTGAGATAATAGGACCTACATGGACATCAAGTAAGTAGGGGCCTGACCACCACAAGTACTCATTAAGTGCCACCAGCTGTTGTGGGGGTGATGACACTATGCCTCCAGTTCCACTCAGTCTGTGTACTTTATTATGCCACAGACACATCCTGTACTTTCCTACCTCCCCTTTGGCTGTGATCCCCTGTACTCAAAACAAAAATCCTTTTTCCTGTCTTCATTGCATTTTGTTGAAATCCCATGGCTCTTCATAGCTCTCCTCAGATGCAGGCCGACTCCCACCCGTGCCATTTCCTCCTTGTCTCATCCTGCCTGTCACACTCTCCTGTCACACTGCTAGGTGGGCTCCACTGCGGCCCTCTAGGGGATGGCCAGCCTTTCCTGTGCTGCCACTGTTGCCTCACCTTACAGTCTTCCTGGCCCCAGATTAGTTTGAGAGCTTTTGCTTATCTTTGTAACCCATTTAGTATCTAATGTGGCATTTTATACATAGGAAGCTTCTCATCAGTATTGGTGGATGTGAACCAAATTGAACACTAGCAGGTTGGTGACACAGAGCTATGTGCATATGTAAAAACTGTAGCCCCTCACCTCTGATTAGTTGGCCATAGGATGGAGTATACTTGAGGTACATAGACTGTTTTACTCCCAAGAGTGCTAGTCACTCACTGTCTTAATTGAGGCCACCAGATACACACATGAGAATGTAAATAACGGCTTGTGGCAATAATGACTAAATGCCAAAGAATGGCCGGTAAACCATGGTGTTCCCTGGAGACCCAGGCCTGGGCCATACTCATGCTGCGTCTTGGGCATCCAGACCAAGGCTTACATTCTGAATCCGCAGGGCATCCATATGGGTGGTGTCAGTCCTCCACAGAGAAGTGTCCCATTGCATTTTTCCATCTATTCCAGTAGTAAGATTGTGTCATCTAAGATTTTTGCTTTAACTGTATAACTGGACATTTAATTAACAAACCAGAGAAGAGGAAAGACAATGAGGTGGGTAGAGCATCATGTTCAGCCTCAGGGCCGTTCACAGAGAAAGCAATTTTAGACTGCGGGTGTTGAGTCTCCAGTTACCCTGAGTGTCAGTTACAGTGATTTACATCTGAAGGAACTGTCGCAGGAGAGGGACAGCCCAGGGTGGATGGGTGAGGTGGGCAGGAACTGGCTGCCAACTCCCTCCCTGAGCTGGGCCTGCAGAGCCCTGAGTGGTGGAGTGGGGCACGCTGTCCCCTTTGCCTGATTTCCAAGGATTCTGTTTAACCAATTACTTTCTTCATTTTAGTAAGCATAGGTGGCTGGTGAAGATTTTACAGCCGGGTAGATCTTTTTGTGTGTGACTTATGACTTTTAGAGGGTGGGGGAAGAAAATAGACGAAAATAGACTTAGTTACAATTGTGAGTCTGTGCAGGAAAATGTGGAGGTCAGTCGTTAGTTGTGTTGTATTGAAGATGTGAATGAGGAACTAGCTGAAGTGTAAGAGGTTGATTTTCCTGTACCATTAAAAATAAACCTGCCTCTGTGCATTTCAGTCGCAATGTATCTGCTGAGCAAAAGGATGAAAACAAAGAAGCAAAGCCTCGATCCCTACGCTTCACCTGGAGCATGAAAACCACTAGTTCAATGGATCCCGGGGACATGATGCGGGAAATCCGCAAAGTGTTGGATGCCAATAACTGCGACTATGAGCAGAGGGAACGCTTCTTGCTCTTCTGTGTCCACGGTGATGGGCACGCAGAGAACCTCGTGCAGTGGGAAATGGAAGTATGCAAGCTGCCAAGACTGTCTCTGAATGGGGTCCGGTTTAAGCGGATATCGGGGACATCCATAGCCTTCAAAAATATTGCTTCCAAAATTGCCAATGAGCTAAAGCTGTAACCCAGTAATTATGATGTAAATTAAGTAGCAATTAAAGTGTTTTCCTGAACACTGATGGAAATGTATAGAATAATATTTAGGCAATAACGTCTGCATCTTCTAAATCATGATATTAAAGTCTGAGGACGAGAGCACGCCTGGGAGCGAAAGCTGGCCTTTTTTCTACGAATGCACTACATTAAAGATGTGCAACCTATGCGCCCCCTGCCCTACTTCCATTGCCCTGAGAGTCAGCGTGTGGCCCCATCTCCATGTGCCTCCCGCCTGGTGTGAGAGTGGACAGTATGTGTGTGAAGTGGTGTGTATGGAAGCATCTCCCTGCACTGCAGCCAGTCATTACTGGTGCCTCTGCGGGAGATCATGTGGTGCTAAAACATTACACTTGCCAGGGAGGAGAATACTGAGTTACTGCCAAGAATTAACCGTAAGACTAGTTCATAGTTAATACAGGTTTACAGTTCATGCCTGTGGTTTTGTGTTTGTTGTTTTGTGTTTTTTTAGTGCAAAAGGTTTAAATTTATAGTTGTGAACATTGCTTGTGTGTGTTTTTCTAAGTAGATTCACAAGATAATTAAAAATTCACTTTTTCTCAGTAAAATCTTGCATTGTCTCCTAATACTGTATTTAACACACCCTCAAGTTGAGCAAAAGGAATGTGTATGAAGGTTTGGGGTCACGTGGACCTTAGCAGGGATCCCAGTGTTTTGTGATTACGAGCTTATTTTTTCTCCCAAGGCAATAAAGGGAGAAGACGGCCCTCATGGTGACCCAAGAAGGAAGGGAATCCAGAGCAGCTGCAGCTTAACCCTGGGAGTTGTTGCTCAGCCCTGTGGAGAAACACCAGGTCTTGACGGTTCTGGGTTGGTTCTCTGTAAAGTATGTGAATTTCCTTTTGCCTTTCTTATGATTCACTACATGAATCAGACCTACAGCTTTTGTCCAACACCTACATGGTTGTGTAGGGGTAATGAGCTCATCACTCATTGTGTTAATTTATTCTCACAGGGAAGTTGTCACACTGACTGGTGTGCTATTTTGGGTTCTGGGTTTGTTGTTGGTCAGAGTATGGAAGTCTGGAGGCCGGGCACCGTGGCTTACAGATGTGAGCCCAGCACTTTGGGAGGCTGAGGCCGGAGGATCATTGAGTTCAGTAGTTCAGGACCAGCTTGGGCAACATGGCAAGACCCCGTGTCTTCAAAAAATAAAAACATTGGCCAGGCGCAGTGGCTCACGTCTGTAATCCCAGCACTTTGGGGGGCTGAGATGGGCAGATCACGAGGGCAGGAGATCAAGACCATCCTGGCTAGCACGGTGAAGCCCCATCTCTACTAAAAATGCAAAAAATTAGCCGGGCGTGGTGGCGGGCGCCTGTAGTCCCAGCTACTCAGGAGGCTGAGGCAGGAGAATGGCGTGAACCTGGGAGGCGGAGCTTGCAATGAGCCAAGATGACACCACTGCACTCCAGCCTGGGCAACAGAGCGAGACGCCGTCTCAAAATAATAATAATAATATAAATAAATAAATACATCAGCCAAGCGTGGTGGCGCACCTGTGGTCCCAGCTTTTCGAGATGCTGAGGTGGGAGGCTTGAACCCAGGAGGTTGAAGCTGCAGTGAACTGTGATTGTGCACAGCACTCCAGCCTGGGCAACAGAATGAGACCCTGTCTCAAAAAAAAGAAAAAGGAAAGAGAATCTGGACAGTCAGTCAGAAATATTGTTGTCTTATCTCTAGAGTGGGCAAGGCACTGTTCTGATTGTTTGAGATCCTCAGTGAGCAAAACAGACCCCTCTCTCCTTGAGCCTGACTTTCTAGGCAGTGGATAAACAAGTAAATTACCTAGTATGGAGCACAGCAGCAGAAAGCACAGAGCAGGCACGGGGTTCATCAGCACCCTGGGTGGGAATAGTTCTGCTTGGGCAGAGGCCTGGGTGGGCGCGTTCCCACAGATTTCTGAGGAAGAGCACTGCTCGGGCCTGAGGACTGAGTGCACGTCGTGCCTGGAGCAGTGTGTGGAGATGCTGAGATGCTTCTCCTGCATGGGAGCAGCTGAGGGGATGACAAGAGCCTTGTGGCCTTGGGCTTTCAGAGGATCACCCCGGCAGCTATGCTGGAACTCACTGAAATGGGACAAGGAGAAGCTGGGAAAGCCGCCTGGAGGCTCTCAGCAGCAATACAGGCAAGAGGTAGTGCAGCCTTGGGTGAGGATGGGCCTTGGCGCAGGTGGTGGTTGGGTTTTGGATATGTTTTGAAATAAGAGGCAACTGCATTTGCCCTAGAGTTGGATATGGGGTGAGTAGAGCCAAGGACAGCTTCATGATTTTTGATCCAAACAGCAGAAAGGCCAGAATTGCTGTTAGTTGAGATGCGGAATGTGGCTGTAGAGATGTTGGGGGACAGGAGGGGAAGAAGATGAGGAGAGCAAGCTGGGATGTGTTGAGTTTGAAGTCCCTTTAAACACTGAGTGGTGACATCTAGTGGGCAGTTGGAGAGGGGCTGGGAGAGGTCGGGCCTGGGAGACGGAGAAGCCAGGACTGAGTCCTGGACACAGCTCGAGGAGAGGGCCCAGGGAGAAGAGGTGAAGCTGGTAAGGCAGCAGCAAGGAGGGAGGGCCCTCCAGGTGTCAGAGGCAGGTGGACATCATGACTTAAGGCTCACCTCGTGGGAACTTTCCAACTTGACTTTTAGCAAGTAAGTCCCCTTCCCTGTCTCTGTCCAGTGCCTTTCAGAGTGGAGTCTTCTAGCAGAGCTCAGTGTGCCCAGTCACAGACAGTGAGGACTTCCCCAGCCTTTTCTGCCTGGTGCAATCTGGTTTTTATATCCCATTAAAGCATCACAAAGCCAACCCGGACAAGAGAATTGGGATGTCTCTCTGCACACATGAGCCTCTTTAAGGAGATCTCCACACAGACTTCTCTCCCCCTTAGCTGTCGTCGTCTGTCACTGTCCCTTCTGAGCATTAAACCAAGGAGAAGATGTTCTGCCATAAATTACTTCCTTCAGCTGGGCGCGGTGGCTCAAGCCTGTAATCCCAGCACTTTGGGAGGCTGAGACGGGCGGATCACGAGGTCAGGAGATTGAGACCATCCTGGCGAACACGGTGAAACCCCGTCTCTACTAAAAAATACATAAAACTAGCCGGGCGAGGTGGCGGCGGGCGCCTGTAGTCCCAGCTACTCGGGAGGCTGAGGCAGGAGAATAGCATAAACCCAGGAGGCGGAGCTTGCAGTGTGCTGAGATTTGGCCACTGCACCCCAGCCTGGGCAACAGAGCAAGACTTCGTCTCAAAAAAAAAATAAATAAATAAATTACTTCCTTCTCTGGGTAGATGTTTCTGAGCTGTTCTATGAAATTCATAACTATGAAACTGGCTTCCTACCCCAAGGCCGGGCGTGGTGGCTCACGCCTGTAATCCCAGCACTTTGGGAGGCCGAGGTGGGCAGATCACTTGAGGTCAGGAGTTTGAGACCAGCCTGGCCAACATGGTGAAACCCCATCTCTACAAAAATATTTTTAAAAATTAGCCAGGCCTGTGGCGCACGCCTGTAATCCCAGCTACTCAGGAGGCAGAGACAGGAGAATCGCTTAAACCCAGGAGGCGAAGGTTGCAGTGAGCCGAGATCGTGCCATTACACTCAAACCTAGGCGACAGAGTGACACTTCATCTCAGAAACAAACAAAAGATTCGTACCCCAGAAACACTCATCACAGCAGGTTCCTGTGCATAATTTCTGCAGAGGTAGAGCAGAGCCCTGCCAAGCAGAGGCTGGGCCACAGTGGACTTCCTCTTCGTTATATTTGTACCTGGGACTGATACTGAATTGTTTTCCATTTTTGCATTCTCAAGGACAAATTGAGCACTAGAAGTTAAATTCCTTTAAGAGAAATGAGCTTCCTGAATGCCCCGATGCAGTGACCACTCTTTATGCTCATATTTTCTTGAGGGGCTCACTTGTTATAAGCTGTGGCTGCATTTTAATGCGTTACTTGGTCAAATAAGGAATGTGTGTCTCAGAGACTAATATTCATCCACAGAAAGTTATCCAAGTGGGTTATATTTATAAGGCTATGTTACTATTTGATCTTGGCTTGATTTTAATGGCAACAGGGGTAGTATTCCATTTACCAAGGTTAAAATGTGAAAACTCATTCATTACTAAGGTTCCAGGCCCTTTCTATAGATTTTCCATTCTCAGAATGTGACATTTTTATTATGTATACAATGAATTTTGAAAAGGGATGTTCTGCGACCGTTGAAAATCATGAGAGACTGCATTTTTTCCTCTTCAACTACCCAGAAATCTCTCAGAAGCGAGGTGAGGCACATAGTGGGGCTGTACTACTGGTTTTATTTACCTGCCAAGCAGAGCATTGTCCTAATCCTGACAATGGTGATCCTCTTCGGTGAGTGCCGACTTCCCTCTCTTCTAGATCAGTCTCATTAGAGGAACCAAAACCATATTCCTACAAGTGAGTGAGGCCCATGCAGAAAACTGTTGGAAACATGACTGGCTTTTAGGAGGCCGACTGCGATCATTTTCACAGCATATGCTTCTCCAAAAACCTAGACAAAAATGATTTTTTTTTTCGAGATGGAGTTTTGCTCTTGTTGCCCAGGCTGGAGTGCAGTGGCGCAGTCTCAGCTCACCGCAACCTCCGCCTTCCGGGTTTAAGCGATTCTCCTGCCTCAGCCTCCGGAATAACTGGGAGTACAGGCATGCACCGTCACGCCCGGCTAATTTTGTATTTTCAGTAGAGATGGGGTTTCTTCATTGTGGTCAGGCTGGTCTCGAACTCCCGACCTCAGGTGGTCCGCCCACCTCAGCCTCCCAAAGTGCTGGGATTGCAGGCATGAGCCACCACGCCCATAATGATACTTAGAATAATGATATTTAGGAGAAAAACCTCCATACATGTGCCTGTGAATAAATTTTGGTTACTGTGGAAGCCGCGCCAGGCAGCCCCTACCCAGTAAGCAACCTTTGTGCTGACCTTCAGGTCTGCAGAGCAGTTGCCCCTTCCATGGGTGCGGCAACCAAGCAGAGCAGGGGCAGAAGAGGGGTGTTTGCTGTGCACTGTCCCTTCCAGTCTGTCTCAGAGGGGCATCAAAATGAGAAAGAGCTTGTGGAGTTCAAACCTTACATTTCTGTTGTGGGTTTTTTGTTTCTTTCTTTGCTGATTTGCCATGCAGCTCAGGGGCCCTTTAGGTGGGAGAAATTGTTGCTCTTCAAGGAAGTGAAGTGAAGATGGTGCCTTAGAGGTGTTCTAACAGTGCACAGGGAGTCCCGGGGTGACGCCCCCATGATGAGTGGAAGGAACTCAGTGTCCTTGCCAGTCAAGGAGAAAGAAAACAGTACAACAGCTATTTTTGTTTGTTTTGTTTGTCTTGGGTTTGTTTTGTTTCGTGTTGTTTTTGAGACAGCATTTCGTTTTGTCACCTAGACTGAAGTACAGTGGCGCAATCCCAGTTCAGTGCAGCCTCGACCTTCTGGGCTCAAGTGATCCTCCCACCTCAATCTCCTGAGTAGCTGGGACCACAGGTTTGTGCCACTATGCCTAGCTAATTTTATTTTTCGTACAGATAGGGTCTTGTTTGTCT